AGGCTGATGAAATTCTATAACGATTATATCTGAACAGGTCCTTACATGCGGGTGGTTGGTTGTAATGACGTTGTTTTCTGCAGGCTTGTTTGGCACCTTGGTCAAAGGCATGCTCCTGTGGGCCTCTAGGACTCCCTCTCATGTAAATTAGGTCCTTTTCCTCTGCCAAAGCAATCATGACATTGCACTGGTGCAGGCCGAGGTCTACAAATAAGCCATGTCAGGAGCACACACACAGAACCAGGATATTCCCCACTCCAGTCCTCTCCAAAAACCGTGCAGCCGCACCAGTTGGCATCACTGAAATTTGGTTTGAAGTTGTAAAGTATTTTTACTTTTGTTCTCAAATTGCTTTGCAAATGAGGCCCACCCTGGCACCATTTCAAAGCTCTTGTGCTATATGTGCAGCTTGCTTCAGGCACTTGTCTGTGAAGCTGCAGCGTTCAGTATGCATATGCACAGTGGTGCTGGGAGCTCACTTTGGAAGACTAGATAAACATGCCAGGCTGCGAGCGAGATGGAAGGCAGCATGCTTATGTCTTGTCAACCTGTCTCTGTGTACTTCATGTGTTCTTTACTGTGACTGACGTGCTCTATCTATTAACATGGCATCCAGGCAGATTGAAAGCCTTGTGGGTTTTACCTATTAAAAACAACCAACCATCATTTCTGATGGGCTTAGTTCGCCTGAAACTAGGCCTTATCATTTTTTGGACATCAGAGTACTGTTCACATCAAATTGTTGTGCTCCTTGAAGTCACATTAAAGTAATTGTTTTGATATGTGCCATTTTGTCTTGGCTCTGACATAAATATGGACTGATTGTACAATGAAGCTGAAGCACAGTTTTCTGTGCTGTGGTGACTAAACGTGAGCCACAGATGCTCTGGCACACAATTACAGGGCTTCAGTCTGGCCATCAGAATAAGGACATGCTTTGAGATGTAAGTGTTGTCCATATTGTATTTATCTTTGATTGCAAGTCCAAATGGGGGCTATGGGATAACAATGGAAGAAGAGAAACACAGGGACGCCCCAAGACTCACAAAGTGCTAATGAACAGCAGCAGGGGGCATTTAGGGAGCAGAGGCAACACAAGCCTCAACTTTCAAAGACATATAATCTTCTCAACCTGCATTAAACACACACTCTCCACTAGTGCTGGAGCCTCAAGACAGTAAACTGGATGCAAGACCAACACAAAAAGCAGTTCTGAAGGGGCTTAAAGCCAAAAGGTGTCAGCCATGACCATGAAATTATTCTTTTCATCATTAGTTCATATTCAATACACTACCAAACATTTGGACACACCTCCTCCATTCAGTGCTTCTTTATGTTTACTACTTTCTACATTTTAGGCATGAGGGAAAACATCAATGATGGAAGATATGTGAAAATATGTACTAAAGACAAATTTCTCAAAGTAGCCCTCTTTGCTTTGTCGATAAATTCTTGGCATTCTCTCTGCTGAAATGGGTTTCACTTCACATATATGTCATTGTCAAAAATGCCTATTTTCAATGGCAATCTTAAATGTAATAGCCATAAAATTATATATTAGGAGAGTGCCTACACAGGGTTTTGACTGATTTTTGACTCCAGGTAATTCTGCCTTTTAGTAATTTGACACTATGCAGTTCCTTGAGAAAATTACCTGCAATGCCTAGTCTATTTGTATTCACATTATCACAGATATGTTGTGGTCTCTTCACTCTAGAAGCTGTCAGGAGCTTGTCTCAGTACAAAAGCAGTGCAAATCTACTGAAAGGGCTATAGACAGAAGCAGAGAAAAAGAGAATATATTCTGTGGCACAGATCAAAAACATTGCGGTCACATGATCAAAGGCGTTTGATAATCCTTGAACTACATTGCTCCTTTAATCCTTTGGAGAGAACAATATTTTAGTGAAGTCAGGAGGGCAAACAGTGTTGGTAAAACTGAACCTTGAGATGCTCTTTACCAAATTGTGTCACTTGAGAATAGCAGCATAATAACATGAGACCAGCCAAACAAATGTTACACTAGTCTTTGTCCACTTAGCCCAAAATAGAGGAAGCTGGCTGGTCATCTTATAATGTCACTTATTTTGAACTGAAGTTATAAAAGCTTGTTCAAAAGTAAGATGGCGTCCATCTTTCACATCCCATTGTACACAAGTAAACTGTACCTGTGATAGAGAACACTGATAAGGATCTGTGCTAAATCAGCATGTCTCCCTAAAATCCGACAGGCAAACCTCATGTTTCAGTTATCAGAAAATACATTTGGATGGATATCATAGCTCTGTCCTCTCCGGCTCTCATCAAATTACAATAACCGAGGCGCGCACTTGGAAAAGACAAAAACATCAATATGTGGTGTAATCCTAGGTTCTGTGTTGCAAGCCCTGTCAATATTGCTTGTGGGGCTGATGCAAAATGTTTCAGAGTGAAGGTGAGCTCAAAGATGACAGTCTCTCTTTTATTTTCTTTATTTTATGTTGACAAAAAGAAAAGAAACTCTCTGCAAAATGGCATCAATGTGGTGTAGACACGCAGAAAGATGTACTTTTTATTATTTATTTATGGAGTAAACCATCTTCAGGTTGACATCAAGACCTAACAGAGCAAATTTATACCAGTTCTAAGCCTGCGAGAGGAAAAAAGGTGATGCTTGGAGTCAGAAAGGGCATCTGGCATGAAGTTATGAAAAACAATTTAAATGCCCATATTGTGCACTTTTCTGATCTATGTTATAATATTGTTTCCTCATCACAACATACCTAATGAGGAAACAATATTATAACATAGATCAGAACATACCTGGAGTTCTGCTTTGTTTTATTTACTCATGTTTAACACACAAATCTTCTCTTAAAAAGAAAAAACTCTGTTCCACTTTGTGCTGTCATGTAATACAGGAAGTGCTTCACTGTGTTTTTATACTCCAGACACCTTCACTAGGATTATTTGGATAATGTCAACCTTGGAATTTTGAAAATCTCTTTTAAACAAAAGGTAAACAGGAGCTGTTAACTTGAAAACTACTGCTTCATGAGATCATAAGGTGGAACAGAGCATTTTGAGCTTTAGTGATGTAGACAGATTAATAATAAAGGGTTACTCAAACATGTTTAAATGAAACAAAATACCACTCCGAGCATGTTTTTGATGAGGCAACAACATTATAACATGGCTAAAAGCACACAAGAGTCAATTATGCCTAATATAGACCTTTAAATTATTATGGCTATAAGAACCACATGCTCCCTCACTTGAAAGTCCTCTTCCTCCCTGTATCTCTGCCTCTTCCCCCCCAGACTAGATCACCATGTTTATTTGTCACATCAATTAGGATATCATGCTCATATAGCCCCCTCAATCTTCAGGGAAAAATCTACCCACTAATTCCATCGCCCCAGCATGGCCCATTTATTCATGTATATTTTATGAAGCCTAGTGTTTATGTTAGAATGAATGTCTCAGCGTGTGTGTTTCCCCGCACTATCTTTGCCTAGCTGCGGCTGGTTGGAGGAATATTCTTCTCCAAATGAAAAATAGATGCGTAGTGTCAGGAGAGCCCTGCGCCTGTCCTGGTAGTACCATAAGGCAGCCATTAATAGTGTCGCCGCGCATCAGACGTACCACTGGCACTTAATTGGATTTGAGCACATAACCGAAAGCACCTGTTTGAAAATCAACAGGGCCTTCCCATGAGGCTTTGCAGGCATCCTAAAACGTTTGGCACAGATCATCCCCCTGCTATATACAATGCACGTTTTGTATTTGCCAGTGAGGTCAAGTGAAAAAAAAGTAGTAGTGTTTTTGAGTTTCTTTTTATAAGGAACGGATATGCAAATATTGCAGGTTTTGCATAAACGGGAGCAGCAGGACCATCTGGTGTCGCCTTGTTGACTTACCTTACTGTGTCTGCTTAATAATGGCCTCTTTCTTGTATCGAATGTACTACCAGTGTGATTATCATTTAACCTAAAAACACATGTTCAGAGAAAGAATTTGGCAAAGAAGAACTTTGGAACATATTATCATAGTTGTATAGTAATAAGATAGTAAGATAGTAGAATAGAAAGGAAAGTAAAAACATGCAGCAATGACTCAAAAATATATGTAAATAAAAAGGTTACACCTTTTATTTACATCCTTAATATTTTACATTGATTAACATGAAGTACGAAAAATTACTTTAGATCCACTTGTATTCATTTTAGGTTGATTTGCTAGCAGCAGAAGTAAAAAGCTCTATTGTCACCTCATCAAAAACATAACTGGAGTTGTGTTTTGTATCTTTCACACATGTTCGAATAATTCATTATTGTTATTCTGTCTACATCTTGTGATTTCATGAAGAGGTAGTTCTCAAGTTAACAGCTTTACACCATTGACCTTTTGTTCGGTAGAGATTTTCAGAATTCCAGGGCTGAAATGATTCCAATGATTCTACTGAAGGTGTATAAAGTTTAAAAATACAGTTGAGCGCTTTCTGTATTACTAAATGACATTCCAAGGTGGAACACAAGGTGTTTGTTTTAGTATGTTAAACATGTGTGAATGAAAAAAAACAGAAGTCCGGGTATGTTTGTGATGAGGAAACAACATTACAACAGAGTAGTAGATCAGATCATTGTAATATTGGCCATTGCAATCAAAACAAGGTCAAAAAGAAGTCATCTTGCACTCCCATAATACAAATGTGATGTGTGACATTTAACGTGAAAGCATATGTTCAGAGAAATCCTTTGGCAAAGAAGGATTTAAGTCGCGAAAACCAAACAACAACAGCCATTTCCATGATGCATCAAATATTACACAAGATATTTCAACTCCCTTAATCATAATAGTCTTAGAGGGAATGCGGGGATAAATGGTTAAATCTTATGGAGTTGTTGTGGAAATCCTAATGGCGCAGGTCGGGATAAGAGCTGGGGTTTGTGTCAGTGTAATTTGCAGTGAACCAGTCCTGTGTGCTGAAAACACGCACTGATAATGTGTTTCTCTTGTAGAACTCGGCCCAGACACCAGACAAGTCTTTCAACTCGCCACCCCCAATTTGTCCTCATAAGGTAAGCCCCACTCCCACCACACAGCATACGCGAGGAGAGTTATTGCACTGATTTGAGCCATTTAATTTACTTGTTAGTCCCATATTCTTTTCATTTTCAGAAGTGGGAAGTAACTGCTTTTGACTTGGGTCATTTCTAAAAATTAATGTTTCTTTACTCTGTGGAAAAAATGTATTATAACTCTAAGAACAGTAAGAGAAGCTAACGCAGGGGCACTTTCAGCAGCAGTGTTGTGAATAATAGGTATTTTAAGAGGCAGATGTAATAGTAGCAGTTGCACTTGTATTAGAAGTAGCTATTGTAAGTTGTAGTCACAATACTTTTTACTTTTACTTAGTTGAGTTTATTTTCTAACTTATTTTTATTCAGCACCCAGCATAGTGCATAGAGAGCATTTAGCATTAGGTTTTGTGATGTGAAAATGCTGATTTGTAGAGACTGATTGCAAATTACTCAGAATCTGTTGAAGGAGCGTTCCAAAAGGCCACATTATGAGTTGTTAATTATTCCTGTCCTTTCTCAGTCAAAGTCATCTCCTCTCACTGACTTTAGTAACTTCCTGTGTTATCTGTTTCTCTTGGTGCATGCCTCTTGCAAATGCGATAATGTGTCATGTAGTGAAAATCACACTAGTTCAGTTCACTTAGCACCAAATGTGTCAAAAATGCCAGTGTCCTCTTCTGGATGAGTGGCCGCGGTGGCGAGGAGCAGAGGACCTCCGAAAAAGTGCCTGCATGTCTGACAGGCTGTCATCAAGTGCTCAAAACCAGCGTCACTCTCAGCACTAATGCACACTTAAATATAACAGATGAATTTGGGAGGCTGAAAATGATTGTGGAAATATGAGCGGATAAATATGAAAGAAAAAACAAACTCAGCCTAAGATTGATGGTTGAAGACATGGATGGCAGTGGTGATTGACAGATTAAATCCACCTACACAGTGTTCCAGAGCTTTCCAAAAAATGGACCAACGCCCAAAAGTAGGTCCCTGAAGATTGCATTTGTGTAGTGCAAGTTTTGTATCCATAAAACGAAGAAAAAGTAAGTTTAAATATACTTGGGCAGTGCATATATGTACAGCTTTTGAATAAAATGTGCAGTGTAGCAATACAAAGTATTTTAAAATGAATAAATATTTTTTGACAGCTATAAGGATACAGTTTAGGCTTCCAAGTCAAAAAGGAAACTTGACGCATACATTGACTTGGGTCAAGTATTTAAAACTCATTCGTTTGTGGTACGTTGCAGGTACAGCAGAAAGCATTTGACTATTTGTCTAGCAGTCCCAAATAGGAAAATGAGGAGCACAATACCCTTCTGTGGCGATGTGTTGCTGTTAGGGCAGCTGCAGTTTACAAATAGAACTGTAATTTTATTTAATATGTGTATCCGTGTGTAACATGATGCTTAAAAAAGAACATGGGTGACCACGCCTTCAAAAGAGCAAATTACCAATGAAGCCAAACATAACACCTTTTCCATGTAACGTTTCTTAGACAAGGAGGTGACACCTTCAGACTAAAAAAAATGTATAAATAATTACTTATTTATCATTACCATTATTATTAGTATTAATTAATTTTTTTTTTTGCAATAAAAAACATCTGTGAGTGAACAACTGCAGACAGCTGAGATGAGACATTATAAAGTGCAAGTGAACGTGTACATGTTTCATTTGCACAAAAATCCAGTGGCCCTCATTACAAAAACTGACATGAGCACAGAGTGCGCACAAACCGTACGGAAGGTCTGGAGGTGGCATACCACTTACACGATTTTTAAACAAACGCCAAAAGGCACAGCGAAACTATTTTTAACTGCTTGAAACTTATTTTTTTTAGAAACAGTTGAGCCAAAAATGCCATTTATGTTTTTGAAGTTTGGTAATCATAAGCGTATTTTGCACTATTGCTGAGACAATTAAAACTTTGAAACACACCCCAAGTTACCATCATAAGCTCATTGCTTTAAACATAAAATAACAGTATGCATGACTTTGGACACAATACGCTGCCCATCAGCTCGGAGCATAATCACTGAGTTCTGGGAACAGCAGCAGTCAACAGCAGTAAAGACAGTAGAAGCACTCACCACAGCGCGCTGTCTCTCCTGTTGGGGCGGGTCAGGGAATTCTGTCTTACTGCGCCATCTCTGTGCGCCGGTTCTGGGGAAAGCGAGACTGCGCAGTCTGGTCCGAGTGGGTTCGTCAGGCAGCTCTGTTATCCGTCCTCCTGGTTCCAGGCGGGGCGAGCAAGACCAGTGCACAGTAGAACTGGTCTGAGAGGTGGTTCTGTCCCACCCTCGCGCGCACGTAATTCCAAGGTCCAAGCATCCAGCGTGGATCCAGTCCGGGAAGTCAAAATGGCGGCGTCCTCTACGTGCTAGTCCCATGTGGGGATAGCGAGACCATTAGCCGTGGTCTCGGTTCGAGGGTTGGCGGTCCTCCAGGGGACCCGGCCGGGTCCGTGGTTGAGCAAAGATGGGGGTGAAGTTCGTTTCCAGTCTGGTCCATTATAACTTGTTCAGAGCGGCCCATCCTTGCTCTTGGTTCTTCTGGGGGATAGCGTGGCTCAGACCGACACAGCTAACGCCACTCCCCGCTCCAAATCATCTGAGCCCGGCCTGAACCAGCACTGTTCTCCGCCGTTCAGGCAAGGCTGTTATAGTATTTTGGAAGTTGAAGTAATAAATGAAAAATATTGGATTTTTTTTAGGGATTATGATTTGTTTTTTGCAAATCACATATTTTCTGCATTTTACAATGATCCAAAATAACCTGTTTCTTCTTTTTTATGTAATTCTTTATGATTTCCTTTTCAGATAAACGCTGCATTTTGCCGTATTCCGTGAGATCATGTCGTAAATTACATGAATGAGGCCTCCTGAAACATGAATATTTTTGGGAGTTTCAGTTTTCCGCACAAGTTGATTAATACCATGTGACCTCTGCCAAATGCACAAATATTTTTTTTTGTCTGCAACCACCATCTGAACCAATCTTATGGCATTGTGCCATATAAATAACATGCAATCCTGTGCGAGCCTATCTCTGCAGTCTTCCTGTGTGTTATTTATGGACACATATTTCCTTGCCTCTCGCTCCTGTTTGCTTGACTTGCCCTTGTTCCATTGACACACTTGTGATGTAATGTGGGGAACACCGCATGCTGCTTTGTGGATGCTGTTGTTCACATCGGAGCTGTATGCACCGCAACTCGATCTCCCTTTAGCCTCACATCAGTCTTCATGATCTGCACCCACACAATATGTGTCGTGAATACAATGGACTGGTTTAAGTAATTATGTGTGTGAATGTAGTACATTTACTCAATTACTCAGACAATCACAAGAAGCCCATTAAGCCCAAAGACATGATGAAGACAAACCTGGAAAAGTTCACACTGAGTGTTATAATGTTTAAAGAGGAGTGTTTTTGCTTTTCTGTGCCATTACATAGTAATGCATGTTTGCAACACCCTTGAAATCATTTACAATAATTCTTCCACTGGTCCTATTCAAAATCAACCAATGGCCCAGTAGACGGCAGCAGAGTGCAATTCCATGGCAATATTCAAAGCCTAAAATCACTCAGCAGTCTCCTCACAGTTCTTCACAAGTGTTGATTTAACCAGGACAAAGTTAAAACTCAAACAATGAAACAGTCATTTTCAATAAAAGATAAGATGATTAACCAACAATATTTCCAAAAACAACTTGTAGGATTGTCTATTGAGAGGGCGTCCTGGATGGTCCGTGCTTCCTGGAGAAAATCAGCCGCGTATTTGATGGGGAAAAAAAAAAAGATTTCAAGTGACACTCTCCTTTTGAAATACACTTTGAGACACTTTTGCTTCAGTTGTGACAGCATATTCAGATGACTGGGAAAATAAGTCAATGACAGTAAAATGAGTTAAAAGGATATTGTGATTATAATAGCCAGAATAGGATATGGCCTGCCTTTTTACCCTTGCCTTCATCTGCATGGTGTGCATCCCCTCAGATGGATAGGGCTTTTAAACTGCTCTGTGATTATATTAAGAGTGTGAGAATGAGAGTGCAGCCGATGGAGCAGGGTGGGAGGAGAGGAGAGCCTACCCAAGCACTAAGTATATATAATTGCTTCTTGACACATTGGCCAAATTTTGCAGTGCCAGGATCTGAGCGAAGATGATTAACGGCTGTCCGAGTGGGTGGGCACCGCAGGGTCATACGGGGGCTCCGGTTTCCATAGTGATCCCAGTCTAAAGGCCATATACTGCATATTATTGAAAATCCCAGCGGTCTGCACATTGTTAAACTACAATTATAACTCGTGCGAAGAGGATTGTCTGTCCAATGCCAAGCTCAGGCCTTTTTTCCTCACTCTTCACAGGAAATATTTTCTTTTCTATTTTCCTTAAATAGTCCTTTTCCAGCAGTGGAGATAAAGAGTAAAAATGTTGTATTGTGTGAATAATTGATGAGTGGGCTCACTTCAGAGCATTATTACGGTGTGGCAGGCAGGGTAGGAGGTGAGGCCAAGATCATATTTCTGACACCAAGCTTCAGGCAACGCAAAATTGTGTCAGTTTTTCCTTGTGAAACTACAGCTTGAATAATGCTTTCTCATTAAAGTTGAACAGGCATGGAATGAATAGAGAGCAGGGAATATGAATGTAAACTGTAGGTTTCATTGAACCACTGCACAAGTGATGAACATACTGAATTACAGGAGCACAATACAGATATTTTTGTGGATTAAAATTATAAAATAAATAAAATAAAATAAATGACATGAAATAAATAGTTTAATTTATTCAAATATATTATAAGAGACAATGTTTAATTTAAAAAGTTAAAAAGTATTAATCAGACAGCTTTTTGTTAGTCCTGAGTAGTGAGTAGGCATAAAGATAAATTGTAAGAGTTATAAACAAGGGCATCTGGCAAAAAAAATCCAAAATCATCTTGCAGCTTTAAATATTTATTCATTTATTTGTACAAATATCTAAAATATAT